GAAGAGGCTTAGAGAGAGAGAAAAAAAAAAAAATGATTAAAAATGGACCATTTTTTCTTGGCTGAGTGGAATTCTGGTTGGAATCAAACCCCAGGTCTGACCCAGCACTGGTTTGGGGTTATTGGACAGCTGAGACACAACAGCCACGAGTTTCCTGGGGAAATAAAATCATTGTCCAGAAGATCCCCCGAGGTCTGAGGAAGGATGTTTTATCCAAAACTTGATTTTGGGGATCAAAACGGGCACAAGAACTCCAAATGCTGGAGTGTGTGTGCCCTGATCCCACCGGAGGGGGGGAATTCGGGTGTGCTTGGGATGATTTGCACCCTTCTGGTTCGACTTACACTTCAGAAAAGCACTTTCTGTCGGGCTGTGTGTGTGAGAAACGCTGATTGTTCCCTCTCCTCTGCCACTCTGCAGCTCTACAGCCTGTTGGAAAGGATAAATCCAGACCACAATTTCCCCGTGAGGTGAGAATTCCGGCGGGGACGGGAACGGGGGATTTGTGGCAGGGTTTGGAAGGGGAAGCAGAACACTCCACTCATTTCCAAGGCAGAAGTTCTGACCTGAAGTATAATAATGAGTTGGAAAGCTGGGTTTTTTTTTTTTTTGGGGGTGGAATTCCCAGCAATCCATGTGGAATTCCCTGATCCCTGCCCAGGATGAGATCCCAACCTGTGCCTTTCTCCCCAGCTCCCACTGTCTCCGAGCTGCAGCTTTTTACATCCGAGGGCTCTTCTCCTTCTTCCAGGGAAGATACAACGAGGCAAAGTGAGTACAAACCCCTCGGGGATCCAAACCCAGCAGCTTCCCTGCCCTTCTCCCCTGAACGAAGCAGCAGGTTGGAGAAACCCACGGGGAGAAGAGGCAGAAACGAGGCCTCGGGGTTTCCGCTCCCATCCCAGAAAGCTGAATTAATTCCTCCTTCCCCCTAATCCCTGCCCACCCATCCCACAAAAACTGAACCCAGAACTCATGGAGAACCCCAAGCCTCTCGGAGTTGGAGCCATCAGCTGAATTCCTAACTCCCTCCCAGGAAATTTGGTTAAGGGTTGTGCTTTTTCATCATTTATTGCATGTTTTTTCCCCCCTCTTCTAACAGACAAGGTGAAGTTTTGAAGCAGTTTTGATGTACTTCAGCCTGTGTTGGGTCTGTCCCACTGAAAATCCGGATCTCTTTCCTGTGGGATCCTTTGGAATCTCGTGTCCTTGGTGCAGTTTTCCGAAGGGGGGAGCTCTGCCACAGCCTTTCCTGCCAAGTGGCAGCCGAGCTTTGGGAATTCAGCGCTTTAAGATCCCCTGCAGCACGTCCATTCCCTACTCCCGGTGTTTTCCAGTTACTTCAGCTCTCGATTCAGCTTTCCATGATGGTTTTCCTCTGCTGGGAGGGAAGGGATGTTGTCAAACCCCTTTTTTATCCCCATTTTCCAGGCGGTTCCTGAGGGAGACCCTGAAGATGTCCAACGCAGAGGATCTGAACCGGCTCACAGCCTGTTCCCTGGTGCTGCTGGGGCACATCTTCTACGTGCTGGGCAACCACAGGGTGAGAAATAAAGCCCAGAGCGTTTTTTTTTTATTGCTGTCCCACAAAAAATTGGCATTTTATTGCCTCGGATCTGTGGTTTGCACGTTTAATAACTTTAATCAGGTCTCTGTTCCGTGATGCCCTGAGGAAAAGGGGCTGGAAAAGGACAAGTGGCATCGTTGCACTGGATTGTTCAGGGAGGAATTGTGGATACAGTCCTGAAGTCTCACTGTTGTGCTGGAGCACAGGGAATATTTCTGCTGTGCTGCACTGGAATTCCCAGGATGGAGCAAAATCCCAGGCAGCTCTGGGATGAGTTTTTTTTTTTGGGGGGGGGTTGTCCCATCAAAGGCTCCCAGCTGGGAGTGACAGAACGTGGCACAAGTTAAAGGAGGCAGATTTTTCACGGCAGATTTGACACCTGTGTGCTTCCAAGGGGTGAAAAAAAAAAAACAAAAATCCCATTTATTTTGTTTGCTTTGCCCTCTGCTCTCCCCCAGGAAAGCAACAACATGGTGGTCCCGGCCATGCAGTTGGCCAGCAAGATCCCAGACATGTCTGTGCAGCTCTGGTCCTCAGCCCTGCTCAGAGGTGAGGGGGGAAAGGGCCTTCCTGGGGATGGCTGGGAATGCCCAGAGGTGGAATGGGATAACCCAGAGCCCCCTCTGCTCTGGAGCCAGGCTGGGAGAGCTGGGGGTGCTCACCTGGAGAAGGGAAGGGTCCAGGGAGAGCTGAGAGCCCTTTCCAGGACCTGAAGGGGCTCCAGGAGAGCTGGAGAGGGACTGGGGACAAGGGCTGGAGGGACAGGACACAGGGAATGGCTTCCCACTGCCAGAGGGCAGGGAGAGATGGGAGATTGGGAAGGAATTCCTTCCTGTGGGAGTGGGGAGGGGCTGGGATGGAATTCCCAGAGAAGCTGTGGCTGCCCCTGGATCCCTGGAAGTGCCCAAGGCCAGGTTGGATGCTTGATCCCTGGAATGTGTGTGGTGGAAGCAGCAGGTCTGTCCCAGTCCCACTAGATGGGGCTGGAAGGCAGAAAATCCCAGCCCAGGCTGCTCAGGGGCTTCCAGCGGTGTCAGGAGTTTCCTTCCTCCTCGTGGGGCTGCTCTGATGTTCCTTTGGGTAGCTGGAAGCTGAAACAGCAGCAAATCCTGCTGGGAAAAGGGAAGGGTTGGGGTTTCCTTGGGAGGATTTTGCTCTTGGACGACGTGATTTGGTGCTGGAATGATCCCCATCCCACCCAGGGATCGGTGCTTTGGGATAAAGGGAGCTGCTCCCTTGACACTGGGGTGCAAAGCAGTGGGGTTATTTCTCCCCTGGTGTTTTCCAGACCTCAACAAGGCCTGTGGGAATGCCATGGACGCTCACGAGGCAGCTCAGATGCACCAGAACTTCTCCCAGCAGCTGCTCCAGGACCACATCGAGGCCTGCAGCCTCCCTGAGCACAACCTGATCACGGTGAGGGCACAGCCCCTGCCTCCCCCTGCCCCCTCCCCACTCAGCTCCCCAAATTCAGCCAGCTCCCTGCAGTTGAAGCTGCTCTGGGAGCGGGAAGAGTGACACAAAGTGATTTTTGTGAGGGTTGGTTGGTGGCCCTGGCAGCAGGAGAGGTGACCCAGCGCGTTCATTCTCGTGCAGGTTGGTTGGTGGCTCTGGGCTTCGCTTCTCACAGGTGTTTTCTTGCCACCCCAGAGCTCCTGTTTGGTTTTTGAAATGGCTTTTGTGGCCACTGGATGTGATCAAGTGGCCTCTTGTTTTGGGTGCCAGCTGTTGCTTTTGATCTGAACTTCATTGGAGGCTCTGGGCCACCCCCTCTGCCCTGTCCTGGGGATGCTTTGCTGGACACAGCTCAGAGGGCAGTTTGCCCTGGGACCTCAGCATTCCCAAGTGGGGTTTTTTCCTCCCCCCATTTATCTTTAAATATCCACCTTGTTTATCTGTTTTTCCTGTCAGAAGCATTTTAACACAGGTTTAAAAACGTGGAATAGTTCCCTCAGCAACAGCAGGAGGTGATTCTGTTCTGAAATAACTGGGAGAACATCCAAGGGGGAACGTGGGATGTGAGGAACTGGACATCTTTTGGGAGGAAAAGGATTGGGAAAGGCCAGTGGGGAGGTGCAGTTTGCTGGCTTTGCTCACAGGGGGGGAGCCTGAGAGCTTTGAGGGTCATGGGGTTTGTGAGCAGCAGTTTTGGGGGATCCCAGAGCCAGGTGCCTCCATCCATCCCTCCCTCCCTGAGCCCCCATCCATCCTGAGCCAGGCACAGAGATGCCCTGGATTAAAAACCTGGAGGGGGGGAAAAAAAGGGATTAAGAAATAAATAAATACCCAATTTTGGGAAGATTTTTGGCCGAGGTGAGAGGGGAAATAAGCAACGAAATGAGCACCCTTTGCCTTGCCCTGGGAGCCTCTGGCACATCCAGGTGGGTCCCTGCTTGTGCTTTCCTGTGTTCAGGGGTCCAGTTTGTCCCTGGAAGAGCAGGAATTGCTTCCCCTGGGTTGGGAATGGTGGGTGTGTGGAGGGGCTCCCAGAGAAACCCCCGTTCCAGGGGTGTGGAAAACCCAAACCTGGCACGTGGGGGGTGAAACGTGGGATCCCCCAAGTTTCCAGGAAGCTCTGGGTGGCCAGTCCTGCTTTTCCCAGGGAGGCTTTTCCCGGGAATGTTCACGGTGTGTGTTCTTCTTGCAGTGGACAGACGGACCCCCCCCCGTGCAGTTCCAGGCCCAGAACGGCCCCACCACCAGCCTGGCCAGCCTCCTGTGAACCACAGTAACTATTCAGGACAAACCTCCACCAAACAAAAGCCAAAAAACAAAACAAAACAGACAACAAAAGGAGAAAAAAACCACAGACACACACACACAAAAAAAAAAATCCACGCAAAACCCTTTTCTTCCAGGAAAAGGCAGCAGATTCCTCTGGGAGGGAGGCCTTGCCAGGAGAGGGGTGGCTGAAGGACAAGAGGAGCCCTTGGTGGGAAGGGCAGCAGGAGCTGCTCCTTCCAGGCAGGAATATCCTGGGGGGTGTGTGTAGAGCTGCTGGTTTGAGCTGCTCCCCCTCTGGCTGAGAATTGAGGTTTTTAGTCCAAAGGACTCGTGTTCCTTCACTCTGTTCAGATCCCTCCTGGCTGGGAGCTCCCGGGAAGCGAAGAGGACTCACTTGGATCCACGTTGGATCCACTGCCCCCTTCCCCCTGGAGTGGGATCCTGCTCTTGTGCCCTGCCTGGGGGTGATGGGGTGAAATCATGATGGATTTTGGGGTGCCCCGAAGTTCCCAGTGTAGTTTCTGAGGTGGAGTTCTCCTGGGTTTTTTTTGTGCTGTCGTTGGGGAAGGAGGAGCTGGGGCAGGTTTTGGTGTCCCAGGGCAGGTCCCACCAGGGTGGGACAAAGAGCCACCACTGTGTCCCTGTGAGGGCCTCCCTTCCCTCTCCCTGGCCCAGAACCACAGCTCTCTGTGGGTTTTGTGGGAGCAGGAACGTTCCTCTCCTCCTGTCTGATCCCTTCATGGGCCAAACAACTGGGAAAAAACCCAGCCTTTTGCATCTTTGCTGCAGCCTGGCAGTGAAGGCACCTGTGCCTTAAGGATTTACAAAGTCAGAGTTAAACCAGGTGGTTAAACCCAGACCCAACATAAGCCAGAGGCTTAACATAAAACTACAGTCTTGCCCTGGGCAAAACTGCCCAGTTTCCAGGCTTTCCCAGGTAAGATTCCCTGTTCTAGCTCAGTTTTCTGGCCTCTCCAGCTGTGAGTTCTCCCTCCCTGTGCCTGTGCAACCTCAGAGCAGGACACAGGTTGGGCCTGCAGAGAGCTGGGAGGAGTTAATTCCAGGTTTTGCCAGGGCCCAGCAGTGCCTGGGAGGTCCCTGGGGTTGAATAAAGGTGTTTTTCTCCGTTGGTAGCTCTGGATATTCATCTCCCAGCTTAAACAGGGGAGGGCAGAGGAACGTGTAGGGCTCTCAGTGATTCAGTCAGACAGGGAACTGACCCCCTAAACCTTTTTTTTCAGTCACAGATGGGTTGGAAGGGACCTTAAAATCATCTCACTTCAGCCCCCAGGGCTCATTTTTCCTTCCCAGTTCCCCTCCCCTCTCTCTCTCAGCAGCTCAGAGGTGGTTTTTTTGCAATCCAGACCCTTCAGTTTTCCCCTCTGAAGGACATTCCAGGGACAGGGTTTTGTCCAGTCACCAAAGCAGGATTTTGTGGTTCCTCTCCCATGGAGATCCTGATCCCAGACCTTGGCTCTGCTGTGGTTTAGGCCTTGTTAAATCTCCAGAGGGGAGAACGTGGCCTTGACACCACCCCAGG